TATAGAAAGAGAGAAAGAGAAAGAAAGAGAGAAAGAGACACTTATAGAAAGAGAGAAAGAGAGAGAGATAAATAATAAAAATTATCAGACCTCCAATGCGCAGTGCGAGGCCACACCCACACACCCTCCTGTTAGTTCCTCTCCCTTACATCCGCTTCCGGTATCCCTTACATCCGCTTCCGGTATTCCTTTCTCGTCCCCTTCGTAACTTACGGTTCACACTCCTAACAGAACCTTCCAGTAGAAGCTCCCCCCCTCTCTCTCTATCCTTCCTCCTCCTTCTCTCCCCCTCTCTCCCTCCCTCCTCCCTCTCTCTCTCTCTTTCCCCTTCTCTCTCTCTCTCCTTTTGCTGTCTACCTCCTCCCCATCATTCTCACCTCTCTCTCTCTCTTCCTTTTCTCTGAGTCTCCTCCCCCTCCTTTCCCTCTCTCTCTCTCCATATATATATATATATAATACATAACTAAGAGAAGCTGTGTTGCCTTGCTAACATCGCAGCAGCAGAGGCCGGAGAAAGCACGCTACGGGGCCAGCGATTTCTTCGCTACGTTCTCGGACTTGCCGTGCCCACCCCGGGACAAACTGGTTGTACCACCGTCGTTCTCTTCAAATAACACTTAGCACTGAATGGCGCTGGAATATGTTGACGCTAGCCGCGATTATACTGGTCCAATCCACAGATCCCGCTCTGAGACCCCCGTCGACGTCGTTCCGGCATGCGACGCACACACGCCGCAGAGAGAACGCGCGCCAGTCTGCTGCGAACATGGGTACGCTCCAATGTCAACATGTTTCTGTTCTTTTCCCCGTTTTTTTCTCTTGCTAATAAGAAGAACAAATAGGCGACGTGAATGTTGGCGGAGATGGGCTCCGATAAGCTCTTACATTGCTGCTGCTGCTGTCTTCTAAGCCGCTGTGCCTGCACGACAACGAAGGCTGCAAACAGATGGAGCAGTGCCATGACGCTGACGCGGCCGAGCCACCGCGCACGCACGCGCACGCACGCACGCACGCACACACACACACACACATACTCATACTCATACACACGCACGCACGCACACGTGCATACACACATGCAGACGCACGCATACACCCACACGCGCACACACACACACACACGCACAAACACGCGCGCGCGCACACACACACACACACACACACACACACACACACACACACACACACACACACACACACACACA